AAATGAGTGGAATGGAGCCAAGATCTGGGCCCATAAACAAGAAACCATTTAGACTATGAAAGCAACTGCCCAGCAGAAATGAAAAAAGAAGTGGTGTAGAACAAGTTTTGCTCTGCTGTTCATAAGGAAAGCCTAATAGGAACGCCAGGGTCTTCCCAGAAATCATTCATTAATTTTACAAAGGCAAAGGGAAGAGGAACAAGCTCATACGCCATGCAAACGCGTCAAGCTGAAGGGGTTCATTGCAGGCATCTTAAATACCTTTTTCTCCTTAGAAAAGATCAGGGTTGGAAATGCCTCCAGCAATTTTTCAGCCACAGGGATCAGTTCCAAGTCCACCCCGCTCCCAGCGGGGCTGAGCCAGGGGCGAGCAAACCTGGGGCTACACCGCTCACAATGCACGGCCCTCCAGCAGCCCGTCAGCCGCACTGGCACCCGATGGGAAAGGACGGGAGCAAGAGACAGCACAATATGCGGCAGTCATTGTAAGGAACAGAGTAAGAAAGAAAATCTCTGCTGCTCCTCCCTTCCCTGGATATAAGGTTTGGGGAAACGTTTTCCTCCCGCTCTACAGTTTCAGCATAAGTCTTACATTTTTAAGTGACAGTAAGTAAAAGCAAGTCTGTCCTATGAATATGACCAGGTTCCAGACAACAAATTGCCTGCTATCAATTTACACTGTGAAATATTCATTAAATATCAACCACCAATCGACTGTTAAGGGACCCATCTTGATAAATGCTAGACAACAGATGAAACCAAAAGAACTTCACAGTCTCCCTGCCTTGCTGAATGGGGCCATCAGTCATTTTTAAGTGGTCGTTTGTTACATTGTTTTATCCAAGATATTTATAATCATAATGAATTGAGACAAAACATCAAACTACAGCCTCCTTGCCTGAGAGTAATCTAAACTGAAAAGCACGTAACAGAAAGGATTGATTGATGGCCAGTGCAAAATAACTCCCTTGAGATTAATATATTTTGTCCTGTTGATATTTCTAGTCATAATTATACTCCAAGAATCCATTGAATGATGTTAGATGTGAAAGACCACTTAAGAGCAGTCACTTCCTTTCTAGGAAAACTGCATTTGTTTGTAATGGATACGGAGGGGACAGCAGAGGACAAAAACCAAATGTATCATCACACTGCTAATATTCTGACTATGCAAATAAAAACATAAAACTTCCTCGAAACACCCTCAAACATATTAAAAAAAATCATTTTTATTGTGACCAGACTTCAAAATCACAAAAAATGTAAAGATTGAAAGTCCAATGAGTCCAAACTCCATCCAAAACCAGGGTAGCTCCAAAGTTAGATGACACGGCTCAGGGTCTTGCCCAGCCTGCACTGGAGCATGGGGCTGTTCCTCCCCAGGTGCAGGACTTTCCCCTCTGCTGAAACTGATGAGGTCCCTGCCAGCCCGTTTCTCCAGCCTGCCGAGGTCGCCCCAAACGGCAGCCCTGCCCTCATTGCATCAGTTGGGTACCACCGCACAGCACCACGCCCGTGCACCCTCCTATGCCCTGCTCCGCACAGGAGTCAGGGGAGGCGAGGCAAGGGCACATCAGAGGTAGGAAGACTCCTGAGATGGGATGAGACCTGGAGAGCTCAAGAAAGATCTCCTTTGTACCGAGTCATTCCCTCTAAATAACTGAGCCAAACTTGGCTCTTGGTTTTCGTTGTTGGTTTGGGTTTGGTTTTTGTGTGGTTTTGTTTTGTTTTTTTAGAGATGACGCACAGGTTACATTCGTGAGACAGCAGTACTTCTTGGGCTTATCACATAGACCTCTTTAGAAAATAAGCAGTCATCTCCTAAACACCAAATTCAATACAACTCTGTGTTGTTGATAATTTTTTAAGCATTAAATAACTTAGAACATCATTAAGCCTGATCAAATGAACCACCCAGTAGTATTTCTGCAGGCTGTCCGTGAAACCACAGTGTGAGTGGGAGACTGTACCCAAGACCACTCATTAAGTACAATGCAGCCCTGCCTTTTCAATCTGAGCAATCTCTCCTCCCCTTTAATTTCACTCTCTGACATCTTTTCAGTCCTGCCCACTTCTTTTTGGTTTAAAGTCTTGATCTTTATTTTGCCCGGGACTTTCTGAGCTATGGTTCCTCCCTATCAGTTACCAAATTCCTTACCAGCTCCTACCCTGGTCTCATCTCCATACATCCAACATTCAATCACTGTAGACTGAAAAACGTAAACTTTAAATGTCAGATTCAACAGAGAACTGAACCTGAGGCAGACCAACAAAGGCCTAAAATATACCAATATAACATACAGGTGATACAACCCAAGTTGTTTACACCCCCAATGATATACTAACATACTCATGTTAGCAATGGAAAGCTTTCAAAACTTGGTTAGCAAAGCAGCAATAAAGTGAAAGGCTGAGGCAGGGTGCTGGGTGAAATCCAATCTCTTTCCTCTTGAAGCCAGAACTTTATCAACTGATCTTAACAGTGACCACAAAGGAGCCCTCTCCACCTCTATTGCTTAAGTTTTCTGGAATCAGTCTTCCCAGAAAAGGAATTTTTAGCCTCGGACTTTGAATTCCTCCGCGTAACCACATTTTTTTCTCGTTCAACGATATGATTTGATCATGGTACTTTCCTAATAGAAAAGATTAACAGCCGGATTCAGAGCCCTACATTTGCAAAGACTGCCAAACAGAAAACGTGAAGAAATAACTCAGTATCCCCTTCCTCATCTGCACATATTTTGTGCAGCTTCCCCACGATTACTGCAGGATGTCATCAGAAGGGCATGAGAGAGTGGAACTATGGTTTGACAAAGAGGTCACCCTGTTCTCCTGTTCTTCCTTCCTTCTGCCACCACTCTGCGTTGAACCAGAAAGGCAAAAGCAGAGAGAGGAACAGAGATACAGAGCTAGCAGTGCTAGCATCTGTCATCTGTTGCGTCTCTCATGCAACTACAGTCTTTCCCAAGAAACTTGGGAGAAGGCCACCCGAGTCCAAAAGTCTTTTGCGTTTGCCTGATCTGAAAGCCCTCCCTCCTCTGCGCAGACTCTAGTTACGATAGCCCCCCTCAAGGATCTGACAAATCCTTAATGTTTTCTGCCCTGGTGTCACTTTCCCAAGCCAAATACCTAAGACTGTCCTCTAGTCTGGCTCAGTTTCTCCTCAATTCAATGCAAAACATTACCACGCTATGGTAGTACTGCTCTGTGCTGTCTTCTGGATAGTATGAGGAGTCCACTGTAATATAATGATATCCAGAGATAGCTTACAGATGATTAGGTTGGTCTTTGTACCCTCTCACACTTTCTGCCAGTAAAGAGTCTCCCTGAGTTCGCACATACAGGATTTTATCATTGCAGTTCTGGAAGATCCAAGCAAGGTTTGGATGGTATCAGTTTTTCACTCTGCTATTCATAGCCAGGAGGTCTGAGCAGGGAAGTGTTTGCTTCCCCGTGACGCAAGCCCATCCCGAGCTATCAGACATTTGTATGGACAGCAGCCACCGACACGTCAGCTATCAAACCAAAGAGAAATTCCTTAAGACTCTGTGCACTGGTTTTAGCAGGCAGCAACTGCTAGTTCATATCTGGGCATACGGGTCCCTGATCCCATAGAGAAATTGTGTACATTACTGCAGAGCTATGAATACCACTCGCTATTAGGGTTTAAATTTGGCTCCTGGAGGTGTTTTCTGGGACCCGTGGTATATAAAGCAGATGTTGTATGGATGCTTCTGAACTAAAGATTGTTTCACTGGCTGTTATTTCAGGAGACTGGATTGAAGGACACAGATGATTCCCTCAAGACTTATGCTGCTTGTGAATCCGGAGATAGCTAGGATCAGCATGTCCACTACCTGTTGTAAACACTAAAAAAGCATACCCAAGAAGGAATTAAACTCTTCTATATCCAAGTCAGTTGTTGACAAACTGTAAAGCTTCTGAACCATTAAAAGATTGATAAAACCAAATTATCACTGAAATAAATAAGAAACTTTGTCCTCCTGAACTACTTTGCTCAAGTTAATAGAACTATAGACTTACATTTCTGGTATTGAACTGACACTGTGCTTTTGAAAAAATCTGGGGGTTTTGCTGGTTTTTTTGATTGTTCCTGTCCCTGACTGGGATTCAGGGGTTGAAGAAAGCTCTCTAGGAAAGAGAGCTCGACTAGCAGAGTTTCCAGAATGCCTTATTTAACTGAGCTGCTGCACAGCATCCCGCTGGACCGTACCCTGTATCCCACTGTACCGCACCCTGCATTTGTCATTACAATTCATTTGCTCCGGTGCAAATCCACAGGCACAGTCAGCTTTGTTTAAACAGCCTTGGCAGGAATGGGTTAACGTAGCATCCCAGCCAAAGCCTATAGTACACAGTCACAACAATTCAGACTGACAGATGTCAAGGCCTACTGAATTTTATCATCTTACAAAGCATAACAATAAAGTCAGTAAAACACGGAGGTCCACTAACAGCTTCTTCCTTTTTAACTAGCGCAGAAAATGCATGCTGTAAGACAGCCACCTCTCTATTATAAGAAAACAAAGCACCAAGATACTTTTGAAGATATTGTATCCTATTTGACTTCTTAAACAGCATTTGTCTGCATGGCGTCTGAGTGCCACTCCACAACGTATTAAGCTTCATAGCCAGTAGCTATAATGGAGATAACGCCTCTCTCATTCTCCCTTCATCCTTGCACATAAGAATAATGAACACCACTATGCATCGCCCATTGAAACACCTGGCTTCAAAGGAATTACCTATTTCCTTGACGTACTACTAGGTTTTCCTTTGAACATTCAGGTTTGGTCAGACACTGTTGCGTTAAGCTACAGCTGTGTTAAGCTATAGTATTCTCCTGCCTGAAAGACAATACAGCATATGAAGCTCAGACCGGTTATTTCAACTATTGTATTTTGTAACACAATATAAAGTTTTGTTAATAGCAGTTATATATATATATAATGCATATGGCTGTAAAAACGTCAACCAACTTTTATGGCTTTCCTCTTCATATGAGTATTTAGTCATCCATTCGTCCCTAGATCCACTTCAATCCTGAAAAAGAAAAGATGAAATAATTTAATTGATTTATTTTCTTAGAGGTTCATTAATTTCTCAAATATTATTGTATATGTAAATAAAAAACCTAAGCATGGACATCCGTTCCATAGTAAAACAGAGATCAGAAGAACAGTAAGTTTATAAGCACTTCACATAAAACTGGATAAATAAGATAAAAAGTATATTGGTGAAAGCCTTATGTTTCCTCTTACCTAATGATTTCAGTCAATGCTCTCAGTGTCTTTAATTTCTGAGCTGCTACCTGAGGGTACTAAATCCCAACTGCTTTAATTGCTTTAATTAGTCTTCAGAGGGCCCATTATATCAGTACCCTGCATTTGTACAGGTAAACTTTCCAGCAATTACTGAGTGCAAATACTGTTTACTGGTATTTCAAAATGTGTTTCCCAGAAATACTATGTGAGATCTGGACAATAACACATTAAAAGCCAAAATACATTTATTAGTGAGCGCAGTCAATACTCCAGCCACAGGAAATAACTGTGCAAGACCATTACAAAATTTGATTGCCAGAATACGTGCATATATCTGGAAGCAAATGCTACTTACACATTTCTCTAAATAATGGAAATGGTGTGAAGTCAAGAATCTAAATCTGCTGTCAGAGTTATTATAAACAATCTGCTGTTATTTTTATATCGTTCAAAGTAAGGTCATCCTTCAAATAGCAGTGGAGCATCACCTGCCCGTTTTTAAACCACAACCCAGTATTTCATTACTGCTGTACATACAACAACATGACTAACTGGTTTCCAAACACTAAGCAAACTTTTACACTGAAAACAAGACAAAAAGCTCCCTTAAGCATGTAATATCAGTAAATATTCATATACTGTGCTACTATTATACTGACTAAACACCATGCACTTAATTTTATTTCTAAGAAAATATTAAGGTTAATAGAAAAAAGTAAGTTCCAAATATTCAAATGAATCATAAAAGGTTGCAAAATCACTGCAAACACTGACCTAACTAGATGTAACTAAATACTGTAGGCTTAGAGCACGCTAACTATTGCAGACCATTTGCCCCATCTCCCATGCATCTTGTAGACTCTTTCCTTTTTGTTGTTCAATCTCCCTTGCCATTATTTGGATTGCTTCAAAATTTCCATTTCATGAAGCAGATTTTTTTTTTTTTTTTTCTTTTAAATTGCACACTTGAAGAACCACCTTTGAGTTTCTAATGGCTCTTTCTCTGTGCTAATGTCCAAAAATGGGACAAGTGGACCAGGTTTTCCACATCCTGGACTGACATGATGTGGTTATCTAACCTGAGCAGGAAATTACTTAGTCATCAAGTTCTTTAAAATTAAATGTAATGCATTCAAAAGCTTCACCGGGTCTCTGTCAGAGGAAGACGGAGTTTGACCTGTAATTGTTTCCAGTTCTCCAGGTTCTCTCATCATTACTCCTCCCTACACACGCACAGACACACACTCTCCCCTACAATGCAACTCAGTTTCAAGTCACACACAAACGCTGAAGTCCTGTTAGGTTCCCGTGGCTATGGTGATGGAGCAAACATGGCTATGTGTTTCAAAACTGCTAACACACCACCATCCAACTAGCCATAGCCACAGCTGGTTTTGCGTTATTAAATCATGTACAACAGCCCTCCTCATGAAAAAGCTACTTCGTTAGCAATGACAAATAATTGGGTTTGCTTATTAATTCTCTTCAGGTCTGCACAATTTATCAAGCACTGAATTGCCCACAACCTCGCATCACTGGGGTGCTCTCCTCCATGAAAGGGTTTTTGCTTGTCCTCCTCTTCACCAAGTACAAGCAGGGCACACCACAAGCTCCGGCAGTGCCACCGTCCCACAACACTGCTCCACCATGATACTCACAGCTTGGGGGTAGGACAGGGGTTATCCCTTAGCACTGACCACCAGGGTGACCAAGAGCACTGATTTTGGTGACCAATGCACACTTCCACACATGCCACCCATACAGGCCACAGGCCTCTTCATTGCAACTATTTTAGGCTGCTTTTGGGGAGAAGATGAAGAACAAACTGTTCATCTGAAAATGGCATTTAACTAGTAACTCCACAAATCTGTTGTCTGATTTTCAGAAGAGCTGAAAAGCTTCAGCTTCAGATGAAAGTACTTTGAAATGCGTTTGAAAAATAGGACCATCTGTCCTTACAGATCTAGTGCATCCATTCTGCCACGTGTGTCACCGCTGTGAAACCTGCTCTGGACTTTGGTTTTCAGCAGCTTGCTGTGAAATCTCAGTTTCTACTATCAGGAATATGAAAACAGACATGAAAGTCCAAACAGAAGCATCTTCCATTTGTATTGAGTGGTTTTTATACCAGAAGAAAATCTACCTGACGAGAAAACTGCACAATATTCCTGATTCAAAACCTTGATGTCAAAAGGGCTCCTTAAGTAATCATAGAGCAAAGCACCTAACAAACCACCAGTTTCAACCAGAAGAAAGAAATTTAAGTAGCAAACACAGAATTATGTCCAATTCCAGCAAAAGGCTAACCATCGTCTTAAAATCGTGTTTTCAGACCCCACAAGTTTATAAAGCTTATGAATGTCACCAAACGTTAGATTCCTTCTCCTACAGCAAGAGAAAACCAAACAGAAATTATAACACCTAGTCCATAGTGAAAACCTGTCTTGATCAGAATAAATGCCCTGGTAGTCCCACCCTGGCCGGCATCCCCACCCACCGGCGAAGCTGAGCAGGAATCACGGACCAGAGATAAGGAACATGAGAATGGTTTCAGGACAATCATGCTGAGCATATTTCGAGACAAACAGAGGCCACAATGTGTGTAGAGATGCCCTTGTCTCTACAAAAAGAACATTTTTGAATGTATAAACCCACATTCATTCATTAAAAAACAAGCTGATACTAGTATCACTTTCACATCTCTTTCACATACTTCTAACTTTTAAGTAAATTCCCATTAATACAGTTACAAATTGTTCCTCGTGCTATTTTCCCCCTTTTCTAATTCAGATAGATATGGGAACATACATTTGGAAAAGACCAACTCATTCACAAAGTTAGGTCATTTGCTGAATCAGGATTTATTAACTTTTCCCTCTACAAAGCAAACCCCGTATCTGGGCGTAACTGTGTTTCTTAATCACCTTCTTGCATCATTTATTTTACTTTAAAAGTACGCACTTTTCTTCTTGAAAGCCCATAGATCTGCACTTACACTTCTGCAATCCCTTTCAAAGGCCCTGAGTCACACCAAACTTCCCCGAAGACAGAGTGCGACTTCTCCCAAACTCATGAAGGCCACCCTGAACATCAGGTAAGGCAGGATCACCGAAAGCACGGTTTCAGCAGCGTTCAGAGACGAAGGAACACAGGTTGTCCTCAACCCTTTATACTACTAGCAGCCACATACTTGCCCTTTTTTTCCTATGTTTCCGATTCTTGCAGGGAAATTCGTAAACTCCATAAAGCAGACATTCTGCAGAAACTACAGATACAAATAGACATTAACCATGAGCTACAGATTTGCAACAGTCCTCAACATTTAAAATCGGTAAGTGACAGGAGAGGCTGAAATTCAGTGCAGCATTGCACTGAATCAGCATACCCAAAAATCTACCTAAATTGCACTTTGAGTGCCTACCTTTCTTGCCTTGGGTCTAGCCCCCAGGATTTTTGTAAACTGAGTTCTGTACCACTGTAACTGAAACTAGCCAAAACACTGTGCCACAAAGTTGTCTGTAAAGAAGTTAAAAAGCTTTAAATTCCAACATAAGCCGCTGTCCCACCAGCAGCCATCACAAGATGAACCAGGTAATACAGCTTAAAATGCATTCAGTTTAGGTTAAGTGTAACTGCCATATATTTTATAGACCTCACAGGACCAAAGGAACACTTGCTACGCATTCCGTTACTCACTATACAATTGCGATCATAAGGTTTATTCTGTCCTCAGCTAAACTTTTTGCTAGTCCTTGATTGTGATTTCTGTTCAAACAAGGCAAGCGGAGTTACTTGCTTTAAGATACCAGCCCCCCCGCCAACATCTTTGTTGCTCTGACGTAGTGTCATAACAAAAATATCTTAAGCTGCTCAAAATATTTCTGAAAATTAACTTAATGCTTCAACTTCTGGTTTTCACTGGTATTTTAATAAAAGTAAAGAGAAGCAGGAGGCAGAGAGTGGGATGCTTGTTGCTAGGTGATACCTAGCTCTCCTGAACTCCTACAGACTGAAATATTTATCCAGACTCCCACGAAGAATGACATCTAGCATAGAGAAAGAAGAGACGCAGGCACTTACTGAAGTACATCATGATTCAAGGTAAGAAGTAGCAGCTCTGCCACCAGCTTGGTCCCTGGGGTACCTAAGCTGAGGAGGCTGCAGTCTGCAGTGGGGGAGCGCGGGGGGGTGGTGATGCAGCTCCTCCCGAACGTCTACCTTGATTTCAGCTGAGCCTCATGGGGCGATGCCTCCAAAACTTTTATGCCAAACCAGAACGATCTCAATGCCACTGGGCTCTTGGCAGCATGAGAAAGCACATCTTTTGCTCACCTGACAGTATAGCTGCGTTGTTTTTCTGTTGTTTGGGGTTTTTTCCCCCGAATCATTGTACTCCGATAACAGGTTTCCATAGGAAAAAAAAAAAGCATGCAGCTGGCCAGATGTGAATGAATGATTCATTAACCAACCATACAACCTTCACAAGAAGTCTGTGCCATGCGCCTCCCCCTCCTCCTTTTACAAGGTTTATTCAATGATTAAACTTTCAAGGAGCGCTTACAGAGTCTTTCAGTAGAGGCTTAGAGGAATAAACATTATTCTTTACAGGGTCTTTTATTTGACATTAATGAATTATTTTGAATTGAACAGCTTCACGGATAAGTCCCAGACCTTCTGGGACTTAAAGATGAATTTCAAGAACTCTTTGTTCTCCCTAGAACTTAAGGGTCTGGTTTAACAAAAATAATTATATATATATTCATTTACATTTCATAATTT